ACACCGATAACCTTTGCACATTGGAAAGGCTGGATGCGCTCAGCCCCGGGGTTTTTCCCTTTGAATTGGGAGGGGTTGGAGAGTCAGGTAGACGGGCGTCGCTGCAAGACCTGTATACGTAAAGCGGCACAAGTAACGCGTTACTTTTACCTAGCTACTCTTTTAGGTAAGAAAGGTACAACCTAGAAACCTGTTTTTTTTTTTTTTGAAAGGAAATAATAACGCATTTTTGGAACTTTTTGTGAAGTATCGATTAGCGGTGTTACTTCTAGAGGGAGCTTGCACAACACAAGTAACCAACCCAGTTCTCGGCCCAACCTGCGCCAGCAAATTGTATGACTAGAAAACGCTACATTGAACATGGAAAATATGTGTACAAAGCTAGTCTGTATAGCCGGTTTTGCCTGAATGAACGCGATAAAAGACGAGGAATTATTGACCCCGACAAATGCAGGTAAGGGCTACTGTTTCATAAAAACAGCACATCCTGAGCGACGAGAAACTAACGCGACGTTCAAGCAAATGTAACGCGTCTCTTTGGAATCACAGTAAAAAGAAACGTATGAGGTTAATTTTTTGAGCGAGTAACGAGTAACGTGATTTAGTTAAGCTATTTGAGTAACGTGGCGCTGTCTTGGCGAATCCGTCGACAGCGCGAAAGCGCGATGAGCATACGTTATCCTGAACGCGGTGTGTCCCCACCCCTAGAGGAGGATTTGGCGCTGTATAATGCAAATGTGCGGAGCGGAATGGTATTCTCATAGCAAAGTATTAGTTTTTTTTTTTCCGCACCGCCAAAACACGGCCCCTAGACCACGTGACTTAGATGAAGCAGTTTGAACTAGGAACCACACTCACACCTATAGGCACACTAGGGCTTTTCGGCACTCGTGGCGCCATCTCTCAATAAAGCTGGCAAACATGGCGGTCGTTCGATATCCTGTCCTGCCTACAGCTGGCGCTCCTCCACTGAAAATCATAATTTGACCCTGAAATGGCGATTGACCCCACCGTAGAGTCCACTGGGTCCACTGAGTGTCAGGCGTGAGGAGACATGGGATACGGGGATGGAGACAATAGGGAGTTGTAGTAGATCGCTTTTCTCCTCCGCTACGGTATCCGGAACGGTCTACTACAATTCCCTATTGGAGCACTTGACGCTCACCTGCGAGTGCCTGTGTAGACAGCGTCAACACGAAAGAAACACGCGGAGCCAGCCGGTTCCAAAACGACCGACGCAGAGAGTTGGTCGTGTTGGGGACTTTCTGGAAGCACAGCGGTGTGGCAGAGGGTTGCAACTGGCGAGTACAGTGTGTTGAGTGGACGGAGGCGAGGCTGGAAAACTGCTTGCAGGAGATGAAAAGCTGTGCAAGAGAGTAGTTTTATTTTTGGCTTTTCATATTTTATGTTGCCTTGGGCACGGAATTTTCTCAAGCTCGACGGCTGCTAAGGGAAAAGTCACACCATCTTTATTATCCTCGTCGACGAGTATTCTAATTAATACAAATGTATATACATGCTTTTCTACATAACATTTGAATACTCGAGGGTACTCTCATCTTTAAAATACCCGCTCACTTTCTCGACCTCACGGCTGGTATTGTGTTCAAAATTAAGAAATAGCGCAGATATTAAGAAAGAAGTTTGTCATATGGTGCTTAGTACCTTTGGGGTGGCCAAATGTTCTTCCATATATGGAACCACGCCTCGTTCCAAAATAACGACCTCATACGCATTCAAGCAAATGGTAGCAAAGGGTTACTACGCCGTAAAGCAACATGGCGGCCGATAAGCGAAAGGCGAGCGTATACAAATAAGGCCTAGCGAACTGCAGGGCTTTCCGGCAGATTGCGTGAAAAAGGTGGATTTGCTTATTTGACGTTTTTCGCGCTCCTTCAAACACTCCAAACACCGCAATGGGCATGCTGAAATATTGAACACAGCCATTAACAATGAGGGAATGATGGTAGAGTCTGAACTCCAACAAAAAAGGGGTGCATTCTTACATCCCTTGTCCCATATAATGAACCCAAAAACTTCACTTCAACGAATGTAGAACAATTCTGTTCCACGAGCACTTCAAAGGCGTTCAGAGCCAGGGCCTTTGAAGCATCTGCGAACCAGCGCACACAGAGTGGCACGCTCAGAGTCGGCGTGGCGAGCTAATTTGCCGCCTACCCCCGGAGTTCTTAATATAAATGCCATTTGAAATATCCACGAAGCGGGTCATAATATTTTCTGAATTCATAAACATGCAAGCAACGTAATTTAGGCGTCTGAAACACTTACGCCCCAGGTTCACCGAACCTTTGCACGATCGGCTCCAGTCGTGTAAACGGACGGAGAGGTTCATCGGCGGAATTGCCCCAGCCGATAGCTTTCGATACTTTTAATTTTATTATAAGAGTAAAAGTGACAAACACGCTTAGAAAAGGTACGGAAGAACGTCGGTATCGGTCTTACCCTGCGTCTTGTACCGCGTGTAAACGATGTCCTGCTCCTCGAAGTGCTTGCTGCACAGATTGGCCGACGTTAACGCTGCCTTTCCCATCCTTAGTTTGACTGTCCATGCTATATTTAACCTCGATAGCTTCGGGTGGTGAAAGCTGATACCGGCATCTTTTGGGGATTTGCATTGCGCCACTGATCAGCATGATCGCAAACCAGGAAACGGGGGCAGGTAAGCGAGCCGGATGCGGAGATCGCAGAGCGGAGTCCTTCCCCTGACCTCACGGTACATATCACCCAATCAGGGCTCGGCGACCGCAGCGATCCTTGTGTTCGTTCTCGGGGCTAATACAGATAATCTAGGGATGACTTTCAGCAAGATTTCAAAGATGCTTTATGTATTTTAAGGCGTTAGCATTAGAACGCTCGTTTTCACGAGAACCCGCCTTTGTCATTCCTTGCGTCCGTTTGTCAGCGCCATGCCTGACGTCGCGAGGAGAGCTGTGGTGAGGAGGTATCGTATTTACAGATTCAATGTCTCACCACGGCGGCGGGGAGAGAGGGAGAGGATGGCGCGTGCTGACGTCATCGCTTCGGACCAATACGAGCATCGCACAGCTGGCGCGGAGCCAACGACGAGCTGGCGCCACGCTGTTGGGAATGCGGCCCAGCTCTGTTGCCGCACCGACGATATATGTGGTTCTTTCCACCAGTGATAAAAGGGGCGAGAAAATATTGAAAACGGGACATAATAAAAGACGACTCGAAATGGGTCATAAACGAATGCAAAGTAGTAAGAAACGACAGGAAAGCGGTGATAAACGAATGGCAAAAAGTCCTAAAGGAATGGAAATAGGTGAAACGGGGGTGAGAGGGAACCAATGCTAACACATATCCATCAGATGAATCCCATTGATCGTAGAATAATTTTTTAAGCCTTCTTGACCTGAAAGTTTTAAAACAGTGCACGTCGCGGATCCTGGAAGCAAAGGGAATTTTGAATGCCGGTTTTGTCATCACCTCCAGTTGCCATTTTCTCAATAGCTAATATTCTGAACTAAGATAACAAATAGCATGCCGTCAAGAGTAAGTCACGGGTATTTCGAGAATGCAGTTTGTCCAGGTAGCTCGAAAATCTACAGGAAGTTCCTTTCGAAGGACTGACGAATAACATTGGAGTAAAAAGAAAAAGGGAGGGACGAACACAAAACATATCGTTGTATTTGAAGTTTTTTTTGTTTGTTCATTCACTTCTTTGCTCCAACGTTGCTATGTAAGCCTAAGATATGGTCGCCTTCACTCTTTCTTTAGTTTTTTAATGATTTCCCTCTAAAGGCCGTTTAAGTTCCCATAAAACAGGGGTATCAAACAATGAAAACGAATAGGCGAAAATGTGACTATGATCCTCTTTCGCTTTTTGTTTATTATATTTATCTCCTCTACCACTGCGTAACTCAGCAACTGGTGAATGCAAGCAACGAATGCTAGCTCTTTAGTTAAACAAAGGTCCCAGCTAATATCGCAGGTTTTATCAATTCCGAATTGCATTTGTCTAGAACAATAAAGGGCGTTCTTTCCAGGTTATCGGGGCTTCTTTTATTTTGTTTTGTTTTGTCTTGCAGCACGCCATTTAAGACTCGACTACAGGTAAAGCAGGAGTTTTGGCGGCGACCTTTAAAAGAAGATATGTTTATTCGACATATTTTAGGCTGTGCAATCCTTATCAACAAAACCTCAGCTACGTCATTTGGGACAACTCAAGAACATCGGGATTCGGCATCTGTTAGGCACCAAGCGGCAAACGATGACGTCACAAAGTGGGGTGTCATCGCGTCTGCTGGTCAAGACTACCACGACTACCATCTTCAAGCAGACATGTGCCACGCCTATCACATCCTGCACCACCATGGCGTCCCAGGTGACAACGTCGTAGTTATGGTGTACGACGACGTCGCTTACAACCCTCGGAACCCGACCCCCGGGATCGTCGCGAACTATCTTAACGGTCGACACCACTACGCGGGCGCAATCAAGGACTACCTTGGAGCGAGCGTCACAGCCAATTAATTCCTCGATGTGCCACAAGGACGACGGGAACTCATCGAGGGTGGCACCTGCAAGGTATGTGGGAGCGGGCCGAAAAACCACATTTTGTTTACTTGAACGGTCTTGAGGCCCGACGACTTGTGAGTTTCCCCGACGACGCTTTGCACGCCAAGGATCTCACTGAGGCCATCAAGAAAATGCTCGAGGAGAATAAATACGCCAAGATGGTCTTCTACCTCTACGCGTCTTTCTTGGGCTCCATGTTCGACGGACGTCTGCTCTATAACATCAGCGTGTTTTCAACGACAACTGCCGATCCTTACGAGGAAGCCTGTCCGAGTGAATAGGACTACGTCCGCGGTGTTTTCGTCAGCGACTACTACAGCATGTCCTGAATGAGGAACACAGAAGCGGAGTTCTACCGCAGGAGGACGCTGCAGGAGGAGTTTTAAGACACCCGTTTCAATACGTCCTTCAGTACCGCGTCTGTCTATGGGCATATGCGCATGAGGAACACAGGGGTTAGCGAGTTTCAAGGCGCTCACATTATACCGCCGCCTCCGGAACGCTTTCAAAGATCGCCGAGGTACTGCGCCACCAAATCCATGACTCCGATGAACATCCTGTGGGAAAGCTTGCGGAACACGACAGAACTGGGCAAAAGAGTGATCACAAAAAACAAAATGCACACGATGAAGAAAATGAGTGCCTTTTCGAAGGACAAGCTGACTCAGATCATCGCTCATGCGACGGGCTGTGTCTCCCAGGGCGGCGATCGGTTCCTCAACGCCAAGAGAGGGCTTACCAAGCACGCGTGCTTTAAAGAAGCAGTGAGCCACTTCGACTCGCGTTGCTTCGAGGTGCCGCAGAATCTATATGTTGTGAAGTACCTCAGATTGTTCATCAACCTAAGCGAGGAGGGTGTTTCCACTCAAGACTTGTGGAGGGCGATGAATCAGGCGCGTACTCGTCCAAGGATCGTCGGAATTTCTTAGACCGACATTAAGCAGGGGACACACTTTTAAACCATTTTGGAGAGCTTAACATATTTATTAAGCGGTTCATGACTCATATGTATAATAATAAAAAAATAAAAAATTAATCAGTGAGGATCCGTGTGTTGAACCCAAATACAGTTTTCCACTATTTTCTCTGGCATAATTTTAGTGGTGCCACAAGCGTAATATTTATGCTTCCGTCGTCGGAACCAAATGAACATTTCTGCAATCCGAGGACTTCATCAAAGTACAACTCGTCTTCAAAGTTGGAAACATTCAGACCTTAAGTGGTGACACCCAAACCTGAAGCATGTTGGTAACAGCTTCTAATTGATCTGTACGCGAGCTAAATTTTTTCCGCCTCATTTGACGACAGACTACAGCCAAAGCTTCGGGCCATAATGTACAACTACAGCCAATTAAAAAAACACGCCATACATTGTCACGATGCGCGTATCAGCGCGCCCCTTATGGTGCACATCCGAGCAATAACCGATGTGGTTTCTAACTATAGTCGGTTCAGACTTGTACCGTAGGCATTACAAGTAATCAAATTACTTGTAATCGATTACTTTTTGGAGTAATTTTGTAATCAGTTGATTACTTTTATTAAGCAGTAATCACAAGAGTAATCTGATTACTTTTTGAAGTAATAAAATTACTTGTAACCGTTACAATTTGTCCACGGCCCCCCCCCCCCCCCCCCCCCTCCCGAGCACACGCTTTTTTTTATGAAATGACAAAAATAGAATTTGAGATAGATTTTTGCGGAGCTGTAGGAAACGAGGTCAATCTCTTTCTATGTACAGTTTCTGTGGAATGTCCGTTTTTTTTTGTTTTTGTTTTTCGAGCTTGGACTGGGAGTGGGAAGCCCTAGGGAAGCCACAGTTCGTGACAAAGGCCATTCAGGGCGAAGTTTGAGGAAGCAGAATGTAGCTTTGTGAGTCCTTCGTTCAAACCAGAGGCTCTGGTTCAAACTAGCCCCCTCACGCACACACGGACAGAAATAAAAAAATAAAAACAAATCCTGCTTAGGGTACCTACTCGCAGCCCGTAGGAGAACCAGAACAGAAGAATGCAGAAAGCGGAGGCCAAATATAACAAAGGCAGTTGAAATATTTCCCCATTTCCCCTACGTTGTTTTTGTGACAAGCAATGTTTCGAGTTGAAAAGTGGTCGGAGCGATCTCTTCCGCTAATGGATACTACAGATGATCCGTTTCAAATCCTGGAGATGCTACTTTTTTGTATAACATGCGAGCTCATCCACATGTGAATAATAGAATGAGCGACGCAAACTTTGAGCGACAACCCTTGCTCGAATTTAACAAGATCTAGAACCCCCTCCGCTCCCCCCCCCCCCCCCCCCCCACACACACACACACGCACTGGCGAACGCCCACATCATTAAACGTCTTTAAACGAATTCTATGCTTGTGTCCGCATTGTGAAGGTGCAACGACCACGAAGAGGGAGCCAGTTTTTCTTCTTCAATACTTGTGCAAATGTGAAATATAGGTTGGAAGTAGTTCATTTTTATGAACGCTAAAGATGTGCCTTGACACAATAAAGTAATCGGAAAAGTAACGATTACTTCTTTAAGTAACGTCCAATTACTTTTTCCGTCGAGTAATCAAGTAATCTAATCGAATACTTTTTAGCCAAGAGTAATAGTAATTGTAATCGATTACCTTTTTTCAGTAACGTGTACAAGACTGAGTCGGTTACAAGTCAAGAAGGTAGGAGAAGCTCCTCCCACAAGTGTGATGCGCCCGTTTCAAATCTCTCCGCAGTCGAAAGAAGAGTTCACTGGAAACGCTCCTTGGTCCGCTTCAATGGATTCCCACTTGTCTCCGATCCCACTTTTTAAGAAAGCGACCTTTGTATTCATCGGAGAGGGAACCGAGCCCCTGAAAGCAGCCTTTGTATCCATCGGGGGGGAAGCTAATCCCCGAAAGTCGTATTTGTTTCCACCGGTGGGGGAGAACTCTAATCTCCCTCTCGTGCCTTCCACAATGCTAAGTCAAAGTCAAAAGATAAAGCAAATATGTACAGAAAGGCAAGTCCTTCCTCGCGCGTTGGCCGCGACGTCACGGAAACGGTGGGACGCTATTGGATGCGGAGGTGGCGGAGGGATATCTGATTCCCTTTGAGGGGCATTTGCCGCTACCTTCTTAACCTGTAACTGACTATAGCTCGTGATTGGCCCCGGGTGCCCATAGCTGTTCCGGAGGTTCATCGCAGAGTGAGGCGGAGTTTAGTGCGACGTAGCCAGGCGTCAATGCGAGAGTTCAGAGAGTGTAAGCAAACAAAACACAGCAGCAGGAACCCCATTAGACTGATGTCACACCACGAAAAAGAGCCCATAGCCAACACCACCTAGAATAAGTAAGGCGTGGGAACGACTTATTCCTTCATGGGACGTCATCACAGGTAGGTGGAGCCAACTCAACGTTAAACCGATCTCACCAGCCAGTTTGCTCGCGCCACCGCTGCCGGCATGCCTCCAACCAGTGCATCTGCCGCAGTGAAATGTCCTTTTCTATCGACAAATTCCCCATGTTCATAGTTCTATACACTCTGAAAGCAGTAAACCCCTTAGTATAGACTGTCATCTTTTTTACTTGATAAGGTACTTGAAGACGATGTTGGAGAAACATTTAGTGCAGGGGAAATGACGTCTGAAGACCTTCTTGTAGATATCAATACCAAGCAGCAGAGTTTTGTCTTTTTGGCACTTAATGAAGTGGAGGACTATAAATGTATTGTCAGTCTTCACCGCAAGCTAAGCCCCATTCAAGAAGTTATTTCCGAGGATGATTTGCTAGATTTCTTCCCAGCTAGGCACTGGCTGTGGCACGGCGCATCACCAATTGCCATAACACGAAAAGTGACTAAGCATGTTATTCTCACTTATGACTGCACTGCTCTCCCTGCGACCGTAAAGGCAGGCAGGCTACATTCAATGCCACGTTCGACCCTGTGTGCCGAAACCTAAGCGGTGCTTGGAGTGCCACCAGTTCGGCCATGGGTCACGGAATCGTCGGGGGGGGAGGGGGGGGGGGGGGCGCCACTTGTGCTAAGTGGCATATGTTTCCAAGAATGAACCGAATTGCGATGGTTGTCACCCTGCCTACCTTCGAGTCTGTTCACAATGTAAACGAGGAACGTAAGTCCTTACATTGAACGCGAATGAAAACATCCCCTACGTTGAGGCTAAGCAACGTCTTTCCTTTAATTGAAGGGCGGGAATTCCCAGTTCGTGCGGAGGGAACCTGCACGGTCACTGATGACATAGACGGGAACCCAGACGTCTTCGGACAATCTGCGCGTCTCGTCGAAGTCTATTCTTAAATGCACGGGATCGGCGCCGGTGGTACCGCGTCTGAACCACAAGAAAGATGCTGGCACGCCAGCATTCACCTTAGAGCATGGGATGGCTACCTTTACGCCCCTCCAGGCTGGGACCAGCCACCCCGCACCCAGGTGAGCCGTCGAGGCAGATGACCCCCAACGGCCAGCTAACGGCATCACCCGAAGAGCCCATGAAGTTGACTCAGATTCGACGAGGAGGGTCTCCACTCGGGATTAGAATCCTGTTTTTCTGCCCCAACCGTCTCTACTGAGAGGTAGAAAGAATTGCTAACAAATATAACGCGCGTAAACACTGTTTTTAAAATATGGTAACTACTCTTTACTAGATTGTAAAGTTTTTAATATTATAGTGTTCCAGTTAACACTGCTGCGGGTAAACACTTATCCAGTGCAACTCTCGCGGCCTTTTGAATATTGATGATGTCGGTTCGTTTCTCAATGAGCTTCGTCCTTTTACAGGAGACTCATTTGAATGACAAACACTCGCAAGACTTACGTCGTCGGCATCAGGTGTTTAGGAAGGACCACCTTTGCCCTAATTCTCCCGGTGGTGTTGCAGAGATAGCACAGAGCGGGCATATGTGCACACAAGCTCCCCTGCAAACGCCGCCTGAGGCAGTAGAAGTTCACACCCTCTTTGACCACCTGATCACCCTCGTTTTGCTCTGCTTCCTACCCAACGTTCCTCTTCGGATTCATGAACTACAAGAACTCGTAGATCAGCTGCCGAAGACTCTCCTTTAAAAAAAATTCTGGTTGATTGACACTTTATCGCTTTTAGTTTTGGGAAATTTCTGACCCACAACTGCTCAATCGTTGTCTGCAAAATTACATTTGTTGTCATCAAAATCAAATTTCTATACACAAACAAAATAGAAAAAGTAAAATAAAATTCAGTGCTGCCATTTGTTGGCAGAGCTTGATACTAAGCCATGAGCGAGCCTGTTTCGTCCAATACGGTTGAGTGCGTGAACCGGGGAAAACAGACGAGCTATACTCGCCCTGAACGGTCTGGGGGCGGCTCCACGTTGACGACCTGGGCTCGTCTAAAACAGTTAAGGAATTTATGGCCACACCCATTTGTTGGGAAGTTCTTTCAGATTGCGGTTGCATAAGCTGCTGCGGAAATGGCAGCTACGAAATCTTTCATATATTAAAAAGTTTTGCCACGGTGCATACCCTTTTCTTCCGTCAATCCTTTGACATAGACTGCCGCTTGCGTCCCAAGCGGCTTCCAATTGCACCGTCTTTGCAAACCTGTTGAGCTCTCTTATGTCACCAGTGCTAGAAAGCATAAATGATACACGTGCAACACAGTAGGAGATTTAACGAAGGCCTTCTGCTGCGCATTATTACATCTTGGGGTAGGCAAGTTAGTTTACAAGAATACTCGAAACATTTTTACAGATCTCGCACTCCTTCGTTTTTTTGGCGTTCACTTGGAGAATCGGTGGTTAAACGTTTCATATACACTTCAAGCAGCGGTGTTAAGGTGAATTTCGTTTATCCTTTTACAAAACCGGAAGTTCAATGGAACGTCATAAGGCCCCTATATACGGAAAGGTAGCGCAATTCCTCCTCTCCCCCCGTTTTCCTCCTTTCCATCGAGGGCAATCCTCCTCG